AAAATACAAGCTGAGATATTTTTTCCCTGTAGGGTAAAGTCAGCTTTGCCCACCGCACGGGGTCCTGCCCTGCTGGGTGTGCATCTCAAGGGAGGCCTGCAGGACAGGCGAGGCCGTGCTGGCTGCAGACATTTTCCTTCAGCACCCCCGTCCCTGGCAGAACGTGCGCTGGGCAGGCGCCCAGGGCTGTTGCAGGGCAGAACAGCACACCCTGGAAGGTCAGCAATTTGGCCGGGCAGCGGGGCTGCTTATCTCAGGTTTTCCAGCAGCGTGCGCCCCTTCTCCAGCCAAAGATTTGCCCTTGAGGTGCCGACTGGCTTTGCGCTGCCCCGGGGAAAACAGCGTGGCAGGCTCCAGCGAGCAGCTCGAGCCAGCGCCCTGGTCAGAGGCACCACGTTGGACCAGCCAGGTTGCAACTAACCCCACAAATAAACCCACAAATAAACCTGCAAATAACCCCACAAACAAACCTACCAACCCGCCCCGCAGCTCGCCTGGGCCCCAGCGCAGCCAGGCAGGCAGCCAGCAGCAGGTTTCTCCGCCGCAGATAAGGGGCAATTAGCAGGAAGGCAGAAAGCTCCCCCTCTCCCTGCTAATCCCACCCCAATTAAAAATCCCCCCTCTCTGCTTTCGAACATTGTCCCCCTGGGGACAATTTCCCTCTGCCACGCCGGCCGGCAGTGCACAGCAGGGTGCAGTTTCCCCCTCTGTTGTTGTTTTTCCCCCCCTTCGGGCTCCCCTTTTGCCAATAAATGCATAAATAAAGGAATAAATGCATAAATAAAGGAATAAATGCATAAACAAAAGAGCAGAGCAGCAGGCAGGGCTAATCCCCGGAGCCAAGCGCTCCCTTATCTCGGCGGGGCTGTGCCGGGCAGGGTGGCTGTGCCGTCCCCGCGGTGCAGCGAGCGCACGCACTGCAGAGAAAATCAGAGGGGAAACTTTTCCGGGCTTTCCAACCCCTTCCCAGGCCCTTTTGGGAATAAACAAGGAGGGACTTTCGCAGGACTGCTGCTGGGAAAGAGGCTCAGCTGGCGTAGCGGGATGCAATAAGCAGGCTGGGGTGTCAGGGTGATGGTGCAGGGGGTGGCAGGTGCCGAGCAGCTCCGGGGCTTTCTAGGACTCAGCCCACCAAATCTGCAAGGGAAAATAAAATAAAATAAAAATAAATAAATAAAAACAATGCTTCTGGCTGTGGCAATTGCAGAGTGAAACGGCACACAAAGCACTTTGGAAAAGGACCGAGATGCCTGCCCGGAGATGCGGGGAAGTGGGGAAGAGAGGGGCAGTGTGCTTGTGCTCGAGATACGGATCAGGGAGAGCCAGAACAAAGAGGGACCGAGGGAGCTCATGAGAAACCCGTGACGTGGAGCCCAGGACCCTGGGGGCTGCATCCCGGCCCCGTGCCTGCCCTCTCCCCACTGCTGCCTTTTCCCTTTCCGCTTCCCACCGCCCCAGCCCCCCGGCCAGCTGGGGCCAGGCCGGCGGCGATCAAACACGGGGGCTGCTGGGGAGCCGCAAGCTCAAGACGGGGCCTTTGATGCGCCCCGGGACAGCCAGCGCTGCGTCCCCCTGATTTTCAAAGCCCCGTCCCTGGCTATTGTGCTCGCATCCTGAGCTTGTTTGTGCACTTGTCGGGGGAGGCCCCCAGCCCCGCAGCCCCCCTGCGGGTGCCTGAGCTCTGTCGGACGGCGGCCCCGGCCAGCAGATAAGCGCAGCCGGGCTCACTCTGGGGGCAGAGCTGCTATCGGGGCCATGGTGAGCAGCGGCGTGCCGCGGTGCAGCCGCCCAGATAGCGGGATCTGGGGGCTCTGGGTCAACCACAGCACCTCCCCTGCTGCCCACCGCAGCGCTGCCTGTTGGTGGGGGCCCTATCAGGCCCCGTGCACACCGGGGATTTGTCCTCGTGCCGTTGCTGTCCCCTCGGGAAGCTGCCAAAAGGTTGAACCGATGCCAGTGTCTGGCAAGAGGCACAGCGGTGGTGAGCACCGCCAGTCCAGCTTCCTTCCTCGGGCAATCTCGGGAGGGTTTGGGTGTCTCCTGGGCAGATGGAGGTGTCTTGGAGGGGTCTGGAGCTCTGTGAGGGTCCCCAGCTGCTTGGCTCTCTGTGGGGCCAGCTGAGGACAATGAGCCGGGCCGGGGCCAGGTGTTTCCCTGGGAAGGATGCGAAGATGAATTTGTTTCAAAGGGAGGACGGGGCCACGGCCGGCTCTCAGTGCTACCTGCCATGTCTCCACCCCCTCCAGAGCCTTTTCCTGGCCTCTGCTGCAGGGAGGTGGGCTGCAGATCCTCTCCCAGATACCAGCACTGCTGCTGGGCTCCCTCTTTTAGGCAGAGCATTTGGGAAAGTCAGAAGGAAATGGCAAAACCACAAGGCCACCTCCTAGAGGACGGAGACACTCCTTGCCAAGTTTGGGGATATCACATTCGCAGCTGGGAAGGAGACACGAGCAGGCAGGGCAGGGTTTTTCTGGCAGGGCAGGATGAGAGCAGCATTCCCAAAATTGCAAAAACCTGGATTTAGCAACTCCCTTGGGACCATAGCTGATTGCAGCCCAGTGCAGGCTGAGAGCTGAGCGGGGAGCACATACATGGCACTGCTCCGATCCGCTGCCAGAAAGGCAGGAGCTGGCACTGCCGGGGAAGCAGCCTGCAGGCAGGGCATGTTGAAGCCTTGCTGGTCTCAGAGTCCACCATCTCCCCGGTGGCTTTTGGCCTCAGCCCTGTTCTCGCCTGCAGCACCCCTGGTTTGGCACCAAGCTCCTGCACTTTGTCCCTGGCTTTTCCACCCGTCCAGATTAAAAAGCCACAGTGCTCCCAGTATTTCTCGATATAAAAGTACTCGAGTCACCTCCCAGTCTTGTTTTTGATAAGCAGCTCGCAGAGCACAGGGCATCCTTCCCAACCTGGTTATCTCTGGGGCTTTTGTTTTCCCTCTGCTCTCTAACTGCCACCGCCAAAATGCGGGCAGCACAGCTGGTCACGCAACCATCAGCCGTGCCGTAAAGCTGAAGTGAAACCATGTTTTCACCCCCACATTTTGGTCACATGTTCGGGCATTTGTCCAGCAGCAGGGACACGGTCACATTGCGGGACATTGCACAAGGGACTGGGAAGTCACTTGAGTCTAAGTCGCACGAGCCCCTCGGAGTTCAGATAAACATCTCCTAAAAACACCAGGGCCAAGCTGCCAGGAGGAGGAACGCCCTGGTGGGAGCTGGGCTGGGGTTAAGCTGCTCTCAGGTACCGTGCTGCATCTGAAGCAGGCAACATTTTTAGGTATTTCACTACCAGCACTAGCTAAGTTGCAAAGATAGCTGTGTTTCTAATGTCAGCTCCCTCCCTTCTTCCGGGCAGGCGTAAAAATGGGGAACTGCTGAGCATGTGGCCAGAGATGTGAGAGGGAACAGAAAACACCTGCAGCCGCTCTGTGCCAAGGCAGGTTGGGGCTGGCACGGCACAGCGCAACGTGCCTCCTCCGGCATGGAGCTGGCAGCCGACGGAGCCCACAGAGAGACATCAATCGGTGGCTGCTTTTCAGCATCTCTGTCTCCAAGCTTTGCAGGGTGCTGGAATCCCGGTTTTACGAAAATGAACAGTTCTGGAGGCCTGCAGCAGTTTGCATGGGTTGCACGTAGGTAAAAACCTGCCTGGAGTGAAATTAAAGGAAAGACTTCTCTGGGCCTTAGGGCACTGCTGCCATTTAATAGGTTTTGTCCTCTCCTTGACGGGTGCCTCATACTGCCCTGAAGGTGATTTGATGAGCACATGAGTCTTTAATTGCATGGCAATGGCACCTCCAGCTCCCTCAACAGCCTTCACAGCAGGAGATTTTATCCCTTTGTTCAGGAGGAACATAAAACCTTGGGCAGGGCTTGGGCTGCGTTCCCCTGGTTATGTATTTCCCTGCATCCAGGCTCGTATTTAAAAGCAACCAGAGGATCCACCCTCCAGGATGGCTCGAAACCCTTTCTGCACCTTTATTACACCCCTTGCCTTCCCCCAAGGACCCCGCCTGAGGTTTGTCTCCAGACACGAACAGCATCAAGTCCAGGCCTTGCTTAATCCCCCCGGTACCAGCGCAGGAATGTATTGCTTTTCACCAAGCGTAATCCTCTTTGCGGTCATGTGTCCTGCCAAACTACCAACTTTCTGCTCCCGTCGTTCTTTCCCGGGGGAGGATTTGAGGCAATAATCCTGCCCTACCCACCTATTTCTTTAACGAGCGAGAGGAATAAAGCACAGGGCACTGCACAGTGTGTGCACAGCGAGACCTGGGGGCACTTCTGGCCCTCCTGTGAGGGACGGGATGAACTCAACCCCTGCTCTGGAGCGTGGACACTGGGGACAAGGGGCTCCAGGGGCACTCATAGCATAGAAATTTGGGTGTTTTGGGGGTGCCCTGCAGGGATGCAGAGCTGTCCTTTCCCTGAAGGCTGTGTTAGTGTGCCCAGTGACTGTGCCGCTGTTCTTCACCACCCCGGAGCTGCTGCCAACACCGCCCACAGACGTGGTTAACGCGGCATTGTATGGAGTGCTAGGGAACTGCCTCAGCACCGGGACAGGGCAATTTACGGAAAGTGACTCATCACCAGCACTGCTGCTTTGTGTGCTGCCTGAAACACCGCATGGATAACATTTACTACCCTCAGCCTTTACCAGGAGAAGCAGAGGGCAAGGAGGAGCCACATTTCACTTCTCCTCACGGCTCCCTGGAAACAAGAGAGGGAACCAGGAGGGCTCTGACACACACACATTGGCTCCATCAGGGCTAATTCAACGGGCACGGGGATCTGGGGTCTCTCACGGAGCCCCCTCAGCCCCCTCACACATTGAGGCAGCGCTGAGGTGAGGCGAAGAAGGGGAGGGGGGGGGGGCAGCGCCATCACCTCACGCACCCCCCTCAGAGGGAGGGGGTGAGGTTCCCGCCTGCGCCTGCGCTCGGGGCGCTGATTGGCTGAGGCGCGGCGGGAGGGGCGGGGCGCGGGGCTCGGGGATGCCGGGCGGTGGGGGCTGAGGCGGGCAGTGCGTGCGCGAGGAGCGGCGGGAGCGCAGCGGCGGCGGCAGCAGCAGCAGCGGGGGGCTCGCGCGGCGGCCGTTGGAAGGGCGGGAAGGGCGCGCGCCGCGCCGAGGCGGGAAGAGTCCCCCTGAGGCGGGAAGGGCCCTGAGGTGAGGTGAGAGGCGTGAGGCGAGGAGGGGCGGTGCTGCGCTGCCATGGCTGCCTGACCTTGAGGAGAGGCAGCGCTACCGTGACGAGTCCAGCATGCGAAGGGGGCCCCCCTGAAGGGGGGAGAGACGTGCCCCGGGAGGGCGGCCTATCGGCCCCGCCGCTTATCGGGCGGCCGGCAGCCGGGCGGCCCTGCCTGTGATACCGGGTCTGGTGAGAGGCGGTGGCTCCTCGCCTGTTTTTTTAATTATTTTTTTTTTTTAATTTATTTTTTTTTCATTTTATTTGCTGTCAAGGTGCGTGGGGGGGGGTGGATGCGGGTGGTGGATGGGTTGAGGGTGCTGCCGCAGCGCTGTGCTGAGCAGCGCTCCTCACGTGGGGCCTGCAGGGCCCTGGGTGCCACCAGCTTGTCCCTCGTGAGCCCCTGCAGCTGCCCCCTGCCTGCTTCCCCCCCTCTATGTTGGCTTCCCTGCCTGCCAGCCACGGCCTGGGCCTCAAAACGTGGCCTGGGAGGCTCCTGGCGCTCATCTCCTCCACGCAGCCCTGTTCTGAGAGGAAGGTGAGGCAAATAGCAAGGCTGCAGTTAACCTTTGGTCTCTGCTCGTGGTGCAGAGCTGTGCAGTGTACAGGTGGTGATCAGCGTGCACCATCAGCCTGAGCGCTCTGCCCACGTGCACCGGCTCAGAGCCATTTCTCAGCCAGAGGGTGTGCTCCAGCCATGTGCTCCCAAGCCCAGCTGGCTGGTCACTGGCTTACAGAGCTCCTTGAAACATCCTTCTGAAGGAAGAAATCCTAAACTGATTCAAATCGGAAGTTATACCCTGTGGGGAAATGCAGGCTGTAAAAGTAACTGCAGTGCTTTTGGGTGGTTGCTCTTAATCATTCTGGGAGAAAGGCCAGTGCGGAGGTTGTCTTTAAAATAAAGACATTTATAATTATGAAGTTATAAAGAAATAGTCACCTGGAAGGGACCTTCCAGATGGAAGTGTTCCTGTAGGGTAGGAATTGGGGCTGCTTTTGGCTGATGGTGTTGTGCCACCTCTGGCTACCAGTTGGATATTTGTCTCCGTGCTGTCATGGAGCCATAAAGTCTCCGCGTGCTGTCCCTTGTCACTCCTCAGCATCCATCTCTTGTGAGCCCTTCCCAAGTGGAGGTGGAGGTGGTCCTACAATTGATAAGACCCTCGGCTGAACTTAGCTGTGTGAGAATACTCCTCAGTTATACCCTTCCCTCTACTGGGGTTCAACAAAAAGGGTATTTTCTTGTTCATCTGCAGAGTGGAGATGTGAACTTCAGGGTGCGTTCAAGGTTAAGGGGCAAGCTTGATCTAGCATAACCAACATGCTGACTTATATATAAGGACTTACATAAAATTCATGGGCAAGCGTTTTGCTAGTGGCTGTGGCTGATCTTGGGCATCTTTTATAATAGCAGGGGAACAGCCTGAGTTGATTTGTTGTGCTCTGAACTTCTAGGGCTTCGGTCAAGTTGGTGGGTACTTCTCCAGAAGGCGATGGACCATGCGAGAGCAGCCATCTCGAACTTGGTAAGACACTGCCACCCCCGTGCCGTTTATCTCTCGGTGACAAACTGGCAATACCGTGGAAGTGCGATTCAGCGAAGTTGTTGTTGGTATCAGAGGATGGCAAGTCCAACGTGCTGCTAGGTGCTGCTGTGCACGTTGCTGGAGCTAGCTGGCTACGATAAGGAAGTGGTTTAAGCTGTTTGGTCTGGTAGGGTTATCTTTAACTGCTACAGTGTCTTAGGTCTTTCAAGAAGCTGGAAAAGCGATAAGTGGAGGGGAGAGAGCTTTGAACAATGTTCCAGGAGGAAGTACTGATGAGGAAGCTGATTAAGTGCCCGTTGGGACAATCAGCACGGGACAATCAACACATGTTCTATTATGTTCCCCCTGGGGGGTGGGGAAGGGGAGCTCAACCACAACCTTGGTGACATGTGCTTCTGAAATGAATAGCGGGGAGGTGTTGCTGTGGTGTTTCCCCTCAGTTACAACAGCTGCCAGGCACTTCATTTCAGGTAACATGGGCAGAGACTGCAGCAGCTTGGGTACGTGCTGCCACCTGCTTCTTCAGCATAGCAGGGAGGCCACAGGACCGCTGCTCCCAGAACTGTTCCTCTGGCTCTTAGCCAGCCTCCTGCCTCTCCCCAGCAAGTACCCGAGCACAAGCATGGCTACAAGCAGGCTCGGTGGCTCTAATGGGACATCTGTGGTTCTGCTTAGAATTAAGTTGGCCACGCTGCCTGGGCGCTGAAAAAGAGCTCTCAAATGGTTCCCGTTGCTGCTGGACATGAGAGGCGCATCCCTGCCTTCCTTTCTCTCAGCTAAGGTTATGGGGTTCCCATGGATCATCTCTTTTCAGCCTAGCTGCTCTATAATAGTTATCAATAGTGTAATTTAGGAGTAGCCTGGGGCAGCTTAATATGAGATTATGCAGATATTGGCTGAGACTACTTGCGTCAAAGTGAATGTGGCTCAAAGGCACAGCTGTGGAGGGGTTGCCTTCTCTTTCGTCTGTTCTGATCAAAGTTGCCTTCTGTGCAAGTTGCACGTGTTCAGGTCAGTGCATTCCTGATGAAGACCAGGAGATTCTGCTTCTATCAGCCATTGCCGTGGGGCTCCATGGGAAATGTCAGTACATGTTGCCTGCCTTGTATCTGGAAGAGTCCAAGCTAGAATCTGAATAGAGTAGCTTGAGCTTGTGCAGGGCAAACAGCTGCGAGGCTCTGGAGACCCTGAGTGGGTCTGGCTGTCTGTGTGAGCAGCCAGCCTGGCGTATTGACAGCCGACACTTGGCTGTGCTGGAGCAGTTTCAGATGAACACGCTGTACTTAGCACAAGTGCAACTGGCTGCAGGGGCTGTAGGCTGGCATAGCAAACTCTACCATCACATGGCTGTCTTTCGACACAGTTTAGTGGCGAGCCGATGTCGTACACGCGCTTCAGCATTGCCCGGCAAACGGATGGAGACAACAGCCATGTGGAGATGAAGCTGTCTGCCGACGATGAGGAAGGAGGAGAGGCTGGGAGGCCCGAGCACCTGCATGCCCATGTGGCTCAGCCGTGGAGGAATGGCAAGAACCTCTGCTTCCTACTCATTGCGGCTTTTCTCCTCCTTTTGATTGGTAAGAAAGGGTGGGAAACAAACTAAGTACCAGGCTCTGCTTCATGCAGTTACCTGAGGCTATCCACTAACGTTAGAATTCATATTGTTTCAGGATAGTACTAAAGAGCCTGGATCCAGGCTGCAGCCTCTTGTCACTAACTCTTACCAATGCTCAGGACTTGTGTAGAATTGGGCACAGAAGTGTAAGGCTTGATAGTGGGACTGTGACTTTGCCAAAGGGCAAACCAGTTACTGGTTTTTCCCCTCATCAACTCCCCACACTTCTCTAGAGATGTGGGCAAACACATCAGTAAGGCCTGATGCTGGTCTTTCCAGGGTTTTAATACTGCCACCTAGAGCAATCCTTCTCCTCCCTGTCTGGAGGGACTCTGCCAAGCACAAGGTCAGATCTACAGTGTGCCTTAGAATGTGCCAGCTCAGGCAAAATGTCAGGCTGCATACTGCTGTCTGTCCCTAGGTATTCCAGCTTGTTAAAAATGGAGTGAGAACAGTGCTGCATCTTAACTGTCAGGCTGCTGTGAGCGTGCTGGTGTGGTCATCTTTCTGACGTGTTTTCTTTCTGTAGGGTTTCTGATCGGCTACTTGAGTTATCGGGGACGAATGCAGCTGGCTGCCAAGTGTCTAGAGGGAGGTGGCAAGTGTGAGGTGACTCCTACTGCATCTTACTTAGCGGATGGTGATGAAACTGAGGAAGAGGAAGTTCCAGGACCACCTATCCTCTACTGGCCTGATCTTAAGAACCTGTTGTCAACTAAGCTGTCAGACAGGCGTCTTGAGGAGAACTTGAGGTAACAGCTCCAGAAAGCTTAGCTTACAGCTATGGGAGAGGCAAAGCCTGTGAGCAGAACTCAGGCTTGCTTGGAGAACAAGGGCATGCTGATATAGGGGGGCATGTGGTTAAAGGTGGATTTAAATGGCTCATCCAACCTGGGTTTGTAGGCTGGGGGACTGTAGTGCAGCATGGTGCTGTAGCCTAAGCCATACTTCCTTTATCTACAGGCAAAGGGCAAACAAGAACTCCTTTGAAGCTGGCCAGAGTGAAGATGAGAACATGGCCATCTACATTCATGACCTGTTCAAGAGCTTCTTTTTGAATCAAGTGTGGAAGGATAAGCACTATATAAAGCTGCAGGTCAAAGGCAGGTATGTTAATGAAAAAATGTAGGTCTCTCCGTCATAGCACGGATCTCCACAGTCCTGAGTAAACACTTTAATTGCTGTTGAGATTGTGTGCCAGTTACCTCTCTCTGAAGAAGATCTTATCTAGCCAAGCTGTAGCTGCTCCTTTCTTCAGGCTTCCTAAATCCAAAGGGCCAAATAGCAGTCCTCTCAATTTTAGCTGGGACAGCTGGCTCTTAAAGCATGTGTAAGAAATGGAGGGAAAACACACAGAGTAAAGACTCGGCTGAAAAGTAGACTCCCTGTGCCCAAGACTGATAGCAGGGTGACAGTCTTGTTACCCAGGCAGGTGCTGCAGACCTGGCAGTGGCTCCCAACAGCTCAGAAGGGTGTCAGCTGCCACTGAGTGGGCTGACAGCTCACATCCCCAGGTCTTCCTGCCTGTTCATGCTAGGGGAGTTGAATTTACTTCATTAATGTCTGAACAATCCCAGAGATTGTTTTGTGAAAGCACTGGGATGAGTCGGCCAGTTTCAGGCTTTGCATGGACTTGATCAGAATTACAGGAGTTATTAGGCTGAAATATGTGAGATGGCTAAGTATGCACTTAATGTAGGAAAGAATGTAACGCTGCCTCCTGACACTTAACAGCACCAAGAACAAAGTGTCTGTTGTGGAAGATGGTAAAGAAGAGGAACTGGAGACTCCTGATGCATATGTGGCATACAGTGAGACCGGCACAGTTACTGTAAGTTGCTCCAAGAAAATCCTGGGGTTTTTGTGTGCCTGTCAGGTGGCGATGTGTGAAATACATGTATGTCAAGACATGTGCTGCTTAAAGGCCTTCCCAATTAAAGAGCCGGTGGGGAGAGGGAGGGAAAAGAGTGGGCCCACACAGTTTTCTTACCTTGTCAAGAGACAGAAGTTACTGTTTAAACTTCTCTGCTGGGATCCAGCCAGGAACTTCTGACAGAACTGCTCCAATACGTGTGTTGCATGTGATCAGAGTTTACATAGCTGAAACTGAACTCCCTGCTGCTAGTGGCAGGCTGATGTGTTCCAGACAGGGTGCTTCAGGTGCCTTCCTAGCACAGGACTGCTGTGTTTATAACCACTGTTTCTGTCCTAGGGCAAACCAGTCTATGCAAACTATGGACAGAAAGAAGATTTTCAGAAGCTAGAGAAGTCAGCGATTGAACTGAATGGAACCATCGTCATTGTCAGAGCTGGAAAAATAACCCTTGCTGAGAAGGTAAGCAGCCTGTGGCCCAAAGTCTGGCAAAACGTGGCAGCAGGAAGCTATGTTTTTTTTTGGTTTGTAGTCACACCACTTTACCTCAGTTCACGTCTCAAGAATTCATAGGTAGGCTTGTCCTGCAGGCCTGGTCTTGTTTGTTTGCTCCGAGCTTCCACGTGCAGGTCTGGACACCGAGGTTGAATGGAGCTGGTTACCACTCGTGGGGCTGCTGTTCTTAGCCGCTGGCAATCTGGTTGGGATAGCCAAGCATTTCGGAGGCAGAGGCAGTTTGGGAACTGCCGTGTGCAGAGCTGGCCGCTATGGCTGGGTGCAGCAGCAGGGCTGCTAGAAGCAGAGCAGCCTCACCCCGAGGGCACCTCTGCTGCTGCAACCAGGCACCTTTAAAGCTCAGCTGCCGTGTCTCCACTGAGCTCTTGCAGACATGGTCCGAGTGAAGGTGCTGGCACTGCCTTCCCAGCCAGTTGCCACGTGTTATTTAACATTCCCTTCATAGCAAGCAATGCGGAACAGCCAGGCAGCCTAAAAGATCCAAGTCCTGCACACAAGCCCGTTTTAGGTCTGTCCCAGAACTGCTCCTCAGAGGGGTGCTGGTGGAGGGGCTGGGGTATCGCTGCTGGGTGCCGCTCTGGCTCTGCCAGTGTGCATCGTGGACGCTTTAACTGTTCAGAAGGGCATTAGAGACATTATGCCTGGAGTAAGGCTGTTAGCTTTCATCATCCTTGTGTGCATATCTCTGTCAGGTGGCTCTTAAAGCCTGTTGTGGAGCTAGGCAGTGAGGAGCTCAGCCCCTCACACTGTTACTTGACGTACTTGCCTTAACTCCCCTTGCTTGCTGTGCACCTCAGGTTGTGAACGCCAAGGAGAAAGGAGCAGTTGGTGTGCTGATGTACCTGGATCCGTACAAGAACACAGACGACCTTGTCCCGTTTGGGCATGTGAGTATGCAGTTGGCTCTCCTGTCTGCTGTTCTCATGATGCTTTTGCTCTGTTGGCTGCAAACTGTAGCAGTCCTTCTGCAGACTTCCATGCCAGCAATGCTTCATGCCCTTGTGGATGTGGAAACTGGTCTCCTGAGACATGAAGGCTTCTTACTTTCCACAGGCCCACCTTGGAACTGGAGACCCTTACACCCCAGGCTTTCCTTCTTTCAACCACACCCAGTTTCCTCCCATTGAATCTTCAGGACTACCCCACATTGCTGTTCAGACCATCTCTAGCCACGCAGCGAGCAGGCTGTTCAGGTAACGGGCTCTTCTGGCTTGCAGGCTCGGCTCTTGGTGGCTCTGCTGCAGAGATGAGAATGATGATGAGGTGCTGCGAGCCCAGGGAGCTCTCTGCTGGTCTGTGCTGTGTATCGCAGGGAACACTTAATGAAACTTGCTGTGGAAATGTTGCTTGTCCGTGTCTCTTTGCTTAAAGGCAGGTCTTAATCTAGTGTTCAGTTCTTCTTGGCCTCTGCATTCTCCCTTTCCGCACTTAATTAGCAGGGCTTCACAGGGCTGCAGGCTTGTTCCTGAGCAAGCTCTGAACAGGGCTGCACCTGCAGTTGCAGGCTTGATGGTGTTTTGTTTATTATTACTTTTTAAGATAGTTAAATGAGGACAGAGCTGGATAATAAGCTCAAAGGATCTTTTTTTTCCCTTCCCCCTCAGCAAAATGGATGGAGAGTCATGCCTTCCCCAGTGGAGAGGTGGACTTCTGGTCTGTAAGATGACGGTGAGGAGCGACAAGCAGCTGACGGTGAAACTGGAAGTGAACAATGTCATGGTGGACAGGAAGATTCTGAACATCTTTGGTGCTATCACAGGATTTGAAGAACCAGGTAACAGCAACTGCCCTGTGGTTCAGCCTCTAGGGGAACATTTCATCTTCTGTGATCTCTGTAACATGGCAGCTGCTCCCAGACAGAGACAACCTCAGTAGCACCAAGACTGGTCTCTGAGGATTAAGAGAGAAGCTGAGCTGCAGTGCCAGGGAAAGGCTAAATGAAAGCAGTGTGCTTCATACAGGAGTTAGACTGCGCTTGGTTCCTGGCACAAAAGCTCAAAGCTGCCTCTTTGGTAGATAGTGTTTGCGATCTGAAGCCCGCAGCTCAGATCTTGATGTCTCCTTTGTAGATCGGTACGTGGTGATCGGAGCCCAGAGAGACTCCTGGGGCCCAGGAGCAGCCAAGGCTGGCGTTGGAACTGCTATATTGTTGGAACTTGCCCGTGTCATCTCGGACATAGTGAAAAATGGTAAATATCTGTGTACAAAAGCATGGGGTTGAGGGGTTGTTACAGGTTTAGCTCTGTGTGTAACACTGGAGAGCCCAGTTACAAAATAATCCTTCCAGAACCTGTGGGAAGTCTGACAAAGCTTTCTGAGAAGCTGTTACTTGTCCAACACAGACAGCTTGTCTGCAGCCAGTGCTTGCTTCCAAGGGACTGCCTGCTTGTATCTGATATGGCTTGAATGCAAGAACATCCTTGTATAGCATGCACTGCAAACCTCAAACGTGAGCTGCCTATTGGACAGCCAGGCTGAGGTGAAAAACATCTAAGCAGCTGGAGGGGCAGGGGCTGCACCGTGGCACTTAGTGTGAGTGCTCTCGTCCTCAGGGTTAATTCTGGGCTCAGGCAGATAAAGAAAGGGGGGTAAAATACAGAGAACCTGGCTTTACCGTGCAGCATGGAGAAGGTCAAGGAGGGCTGGAAAGGGTACAGTGTCCTTGCTGCCACTAGTGCACATGTTTGCAGCAGGCAGAATCCTTCAGCTCTGCATGAGCAGCAGGTGACTTCATCAGCCCAGGTCCAGAGTGCTAATCCACATCTCGGGAAGGGCGGAGATCTCAGTCTGTCTCTTTGCAGAAGGCTACAAACCGAGGCGAAGCATCATCTTTGCCAGCTGGAGTGCGGGAGACTACGGCGCTGTGGGTGCTACTGAATGGCTGGAGGTACTGGTTCTTCGGACTGTTGTGTGATGACTGCTCAGTTGTCACTTCTCATTCCACGTTTCCCTGTGGAATAAACTCCCTGGTATTATACTGCCATTGCTTATCTTAAAATGCTTGTTTTGTTCTAGGGGTACTCAGCCACGCTGCATGCCAAAGCTTTCACTTACATCAACCTGGATGCTGCAGTCCTGGGTAACTTGCCACTCTTAATTTTTCTTTCTTGAAACCAGATGGAATGAGGGTAGTTTGACAGATAACTGTAAGCCTCTAGAAATGGAGACACTTCCCTGACTGCGCTAGAGGTGCTGTTGGGTGTTTGGCTGAAGGCCAGAATGACTCAATTCATCGCTGGCCCACTGTCACTAAAACCAGGAGATTGCAGGGACCTAGCAGAACTGTCTTCTGGTTCAGGCTGCAGCAGTTTCTGCCCTGTGCCTTTTGAAAGCCTTTTGGCAACAACCGTAGATCATTTGGTCCAGAAGGCCTTGTTGCTCGGTTGCAGGTCTGAGCTGCTCTAGCAATTAATTGTGCAATCAGTGTGTTAAACACCCTTTTTCTCTTGCAGGCACAAACGACATCAAGATTTCTGCTAGCCCCTTGCTGTATGCACTACTGGAGAGAACTATGAAGGGGGTGAGTTGAAGGGTCTCAGGTGGATCAGAGTTAAACAATAGCTTAAGCCACTTTCCACTGGGTCCCTTTCCTCAGTAGAGCTGGCATCTCTTAAAGAGAAGCTGCACTTAAGAGGAGGGGCTGAAATACTCTGGAGGGCCCTGTCTGAAGTCAGCTGGGCTCTGGGAATTGTAGTTCACTTAAATAGAATGCAAAATTAATGATTGCCATGGTTTGGTGGGAAATGAGTGCCTGTCCTGTATGGAGTGTGTTCGTGTAAAGAAAGGTCAGGAGAGCACACCTGACTGGTGTCTGCATAGCGGTGTGAGCTCTGGGGCACGCCCAGCAGCCTGGAAGCCTAAACAGAGGTCAGAACAAGTGCAGTGACTGTCATCTCCCTGCAGGTAAACGATCCATTAATAAGCTCGAGAAAGCTCTATGACAAAGTTGGCTCCAGCTGGGTAAAATCAATGTAAGTATTCCAGTCCTGTTGAGGAAAGCAAATCTCCATAAAGGCACAAACTAAACAGCTTCTACTCTTTGTGCTGGAACCTCATGCCACTGTCCGGGGCAGGCTTTCCCTGTTGCAGTGGGGTCAGGCAGGCATGAACACAGAGCACTAGCCGTGCTGAGTGCTGCCCCAAGCTGCCCATAGGCAGTTCAGACACCCTTTTTGCAGGGCAAGATCCGCCTTGTACAAGGAGCGGTGGCCGGAAGCGGACCAGCAGCCCTTGGCACTTGGCTTGGACTCCTTGCCAAAACCTGTCTTGTCTAGACAGAGTAGCCCGGTTGGCTCAGAGCTTCACCTCGAGCCCTCTAGCCCTGTAGCTTTTCAGCTGGGCTGTCTAAACCAGTCAGTAACTATTCAATACCTCTCTCTTGCAGCGTTCCTTTTGGCCTAGATAATGCAGCGTTCCCTTTTCTGGCGTACTCTGGAATCCCAGTGGTGTCCTTTGGTTTCTACAATGTAAGTACTGCCTGCCTGCCTAGTGTTCGTGCTGTGGAAGGTGCTGTAGGGATAGCTGCTCTCCAGGATGGCGAAGTGCAAGGTGCACTGAGCTCGGTGTCCATGCAGGAGCCTCTCTGAGAGAGGAGGTGCAGCCTCTGGACCTAGGGGCTGTGGCAGTACTCATGAAGGCTGCTTCTGGGATGTGGTTGGCCTTTAGCTTCTGTTTGAGAGTCTGGGATGCTTGTGTTCTGTTGGGAGAGGGGGGCATTGCTCTTCTAGAGGCTCAGATGTCAATGACGCAGAAACAAAAAGCACTAAGAGATGCCAAGCTTCCAGTACTTCAATTAGAGAATGTACTGCAGCCTGCTGTTCAGCAAACAGTGCTCTGGGGACGCTGTACAGCTGGCCAGAGCAGACAGACTGTCCAGATCTGCTGTTGCAGCTCGGCGCTGGCAAAATGGCAGCAGCCTGGCAGCCTGCACTGCTCCTGCTGCAGGTGTGCAGCTGGGACCCTTTCTGCTAACAGCTTCCTTGGTTCCTGAGTGCCTGAATTTTGCAAGTGTCAGGCTTCACAAAAATCTTAGGCTGTTGTGCTCAGAAAGGTTGGAAAGTGCTGTCAGCATGTACTGAAGTGGGTGATGGTTTGCAGGAGCTCTGCAGGGAACTCTGACAGAATGGGTCTGTGTGTCTCTGGCCTAACAAACTCACAGGGCATGCAGCTGATCAACAGAGGCTGTGAGGGACTAGAGGAGGGCGTTCCATTCCCCTCCCTCATGTTCTGAAGTTTTGCTACTCAAATCTCACTATGTAGAAGCACAAGTTGATGGGACGTGCTGAGAGCTCCTAGTTGGAGAATCATTGCTGTCTAACTTTTACACCTTCTCTCTTGTAGAAAGATGAGGACTATCCCTTCCTGGGCACTACTCAGGACACTGTGGAGAACCTGAAGGCGATTAACAGTCTGTACGCTCATCTGCGTGCTGCTGCGGAAGTAGCTGGACAAATAGCTCTCAGGCTAACCCATGACCATGAGCTCTTCCTAGACTTTGGGAGATACAGTGAGGAACTGTTAGCGTTCCAGGAGAAGTTTCTGGTCTACGATCAGGATGTGAAGGTAAGAAAGGATCTGAGTGCACTGAATCCCTGTAGACTGTTCTGGAGTCGTGTGTTAGCAAGGCTCTGTGATTACTGCATGCAGCTGGGGGGACATCAGTCTTCTTGACATGAGTGTCACAAGATGTGATCTGAATTAATGTTCCTTAGGGAGCAGTACTGACATAGGAGCTGTTGCAGACAGGTTTAGCTATAGTGGCTTTAGTGAGTTCTTGAGGAAATGGATGTGGCTGTAATTGTTTCTAGTCTGAAATATCATTCACAGTGCAGCTTTGCATCTCATCTGCACCTCTGCTGAAACAGTACGAGAAACTGTGGGTGGGGAGAGACGTCACTGTGCTCAGTGACCTCAGAAGACTGCCAGGAACTTGCTCTGCTACTTGGTTAACTGGCAAAAAAAACAAAAACACACACACTTGGTAAGAGCAGCAAAAGAAGAAAATCAGGTTTGCTAACAGTTCCTCCCTCGCAGGAGCTGGGGCTGAACTTAGACTGGCTGTTTCTTGCCCGTGGCGACTTCCAGCGAGCTGCAAATGCGCTGAGAAGAGACATTGAAAACAGTGACAAGGAAAACAAGGTCATCCGCAGAGCCCTGAACGACAGGATCATGAAGGTGGGTGCCTGCAGCTGGTTCGCCTCCCTTTGCAAAGGGAGAGAGCTGCCTGGGGTGGGCTTTGTATTTGGAAGCTGTGGACACTGTGCAGCTCCGTGTCTCTTACGTAGTGTTAATGTGACCAACTGCTGCTATCAGGAGAGGATCTGGCCTGTGCAGAGCTGCTCTAGGAAAGGGCTGGGTGGAGGTGGGAGGCTGGGGGCTCAGGATGGGACAGATGAGGAAAGAAAAATGTGGGAGGTGAGTGTAACCTGAAACTTGCACCTCTGCTCCAGGTGGAGTATGACTTCCTCTCCCCGTTCCTCTCACCGAAAGATGCTCCCCTTCGCCACATCTTCTTCGGCAAAGGCTCCCACACCCTGCAGAGCCTGCTGGACCATCTGCAGCTGCTGAAAACCAGCAGGAGCAAGGTGGATTTGAACATGCTGAAAGAGCAGCTGGCCCTGGCGACCTGGACCATTAAAGGGGCTGCCAATGCGTTAGAGGGTGATATTTGGAATACAGACAACACATTCTAGACACAGCAAACACCTGGTTAAGGTACAGGATTAAGGAAACCCACTCCCTAACACGGCATTATTTTTCTGTAGAGGATTTTTTTTGGCAACAGACCTCTTTTTGACCAAAATTGAAGATAAAAATTTAAATCTCACCTCACAAATTCACAGGAGGCAGTTTAAAAGCAGGTACTAAAATTTCCATGAAATCTTTTCTGACCAGGCTCCCATCTGACCATAGTCCAACCCGGTCGCGTACGGCTGCTTTGTGGGGTTTGCTCTCTGGTATACTTGAGAACTAACAGCTCGTGTGAATCCTGAACCGGTACCTTGAGTGGGGAGGTACCATATCATATGTTTATTTTTTATTCTTGGCCTCCTAAATGTGGTGACAGAACAGGGAACGGATTCCTCTACTGCTTGTAGCTTGTAGTAAGGATTTTTTTTTCTCTGTCCAGGGAGCTGCAGACATCAACCTATAGTTCAAGAGTAGAACAGCTTACTACAGCAGCTTAATACTAGCCTGTAAGTGCTGGATTAGCAGCAAGCTCTGAAGTGCCCGGCCTGCCTTTTCTCAACAGCAGCCCTCCAATAAAATCTTGGAGGCTTGCTCCTGCAAAGGCAGGTCCCGGCACCCAGGGAAGATAACCCAAAGACTGCATAACGCCCCATCTGGTCTCCTTACTCGGCACCGCCGCGAGTGCTGCAGCATTGAGAAATGGCTCAGGACTGGCACTTCAGACCTTGCTGTGCTGGGGCCTCTTGCGAAATCGAGTCTCTTGCTGGCCAAACACTGTTTGGCTGATGCCATTTTTGCAGGGTGGCTCTTGTTTGGCACTGAGATATTTATTTGTTTATTTATTTATCAGTGACAGTGTTCACTATAAATGGTGTGGTTTTTTTATAGAAGATAATTATCGGAAGCAGTGCCTTCCATAATTATGACAGTTATACTGTCGTTTTTGAATAAAGCAGCATCTGCTATTACAATCAAACATGATACTGGAACTTTGCATTTAACATAATCTAAACAAGCCCCCCCACCTACTTTAATCTTTATTTTTTTGTTTTGTTTTAAATAGCAGTTAAATTTTCTGTGGCTTAAATGCCCCTCTGGCAGTAACCTGATGGTGCAAACCTGGTAACAAGCCTCGGGGTTGCACTTCAGAACAATCCTTGAAATGCTGAAAATCTGGGTGGAAACTCAAATACTGCAAATTTGGTTTTCCTGAGTTGCCTCTGCCTCTCTGGGCTTAGGACTCCCTCTTCTCCCCCCTTCCTGGCAGCTTTTCTCCCCACAAGGGGGCACAGCTTCCTTCCTGGCCGGGGCGGAGGGGCAGAGGCACCCTGAGCAGGGCTCATTGTGTAGCTCTTGCTCCACCCACTGCAGCACACACAAAGTATCTCGGATTAGGCATTGGCCCAATTTTCAATGGCAGCTTCCTGCAAACTTCCAGTACCTTATGTATCATGAAACCTAACTGACATTATCGGAGGCAGTGTCTTCCATAATGTGTAAAGAACAAGGTAGTTTTTGCCTACCACAGTGTTATATCGGAGGCAGTGACCTCCATATGTTGCACTATGGGTGTACGTAATTATCGGGGACAGTGTTTCCCATAATTGTTTTATGCTTATCATGCAATGTCATCTGCAAAGCTGGATGGTTAGTATCTAACATGGATTAACTTCCCGCAGTCATTTCTTTCACTCTCCTGTGGTGATGCGAATACAAACCTCGGCCTGTTATGTACTTCTCTAGACTCTGCCTTCTCTCTCAGCTGAGCTTTCTCATAGCTGTGCTGTCTTGAAGTGATGTCCTGCCCTCGGTCCTGAGACTGGTGTTTGAATGTTAGTGGAAGCTAGGCTAGGTAGATCGTGTGCTCTGTGATTTAGTGAACTTCCTTCCAAAGACTTGGTGAGCTCGTGCTAGGTCAGCGTACTACTGAAAGGAAGAACTCAGCCTGCTTTGGCAGTCCAAAATTTAACGGGCACGGTGGGTTTTCATCGGTCTTTCTGGAAGCCTTAGGTCCAGGCTTGTGCAACTCCTACCTCTTCTTTAAGTATCCTGCATGTGTGTAGCGCTCTCTGTGTTAAGGTTTTTTAGTATCACTTCTCCACATGGCAGCTACACGATGCTGCCTACGAGTCTTCACCGCAGCATTTGTGTGCGTTTTGATAGCATGTTTAATCGTGTGCTTTGTAACCTGCAGAGGATGATTAAAGCCTGGCTGGGGGGAGCTGCTGTGGCTCCTGGGGTGCCGATACCCCTTCCTCAGTCCTGGCAGCGGACGTGGTGTGGGGTATAACGCCTGTTTGTAGGCTACCTGCTGTCTGCTTCAATAAAGTTGTAAAGCTTCAACACTCAACGCCTCTCGTGAGTTCTTACCAAGCCATCGGGCTGTTGCGGACACCGGTGAGCTTCAACTTTCACCAAGCCCCCCCTGGGCTTTTAGGGGCTGTCCTCCCCTCTCCCTCATGCCCTTGTCACAGCGTCCCCCAAAAAGTGACACCAGGACTCCTTCAGGAGCCCTGGCCCTCCTTGGGGTGCCCGAGTTGCTCCTTCCTCCCCCTGCTACCCCCTGTCCGTCTGTCCGTCCGTCCCTCCTCACCCCCCTAACCCCCCCCTTTCCCCTTACGTAAAAGCCAGAGAGGCGGCTCCTTTAAGAGCGCGGCCGGGCGGGAGCGCGCCGCCCCGGGAGCGCGCCCCGGCTGCGGGGTGCGCGCACCGCGGCGGGGTAAGGGGCGGAGGAGGAGGAGGAGGAGGAGGAGGAAGCCGCGGCGGGGCTGCGGCACCGGGAAGCGGGCACCGGAGCCGAGCCCCCAGCGTGCGGGGCCGGGGGGCGCCGCCTGCACCATCCGGGAGCCGGGGGTGGCGGAGGGCGGGGGGCTGAGCCCGGGGGTGGAGGAAGGCGGCGGCGTGGCCCCGGGGGTGCAGGAGGCGGGGGGCTTGGCGCAGGGGGTGCAAGAAGCGGGGCTGGGACCCCGGGGACAGGAGCTGGTGACCGGAGGGAGGGCACCGGAGGGCGGCGGCGGCGGCGAGGCCGGGCGGCCGGGGCAGTGGCAGCGGGTGCTGCTGGGGGTGCGCGCCGGGCTGCAGGAGCGCGGAGACCGCCCGGTGCCCACCGTGGGCACCAAGCCCCCGCCGGGCTTGCGGCGCCCCCGCGAGCAGCTGGGGGCTCCCCGGGGACGGCCGAGCCCCGGCGAGCCTCGGGTGGGCGTGAGGAGGGCGAGGGGGGCCGAAGGGGGCAGCCCCGGGGTTAGGAGGGTCCGCGCGGGGGTGCGCGGGGTGCAGGAACGCGGCCCCAAAGCGCGGCAGGAGCAGGGCCCGAGCCGCAGGGCGCAGCAGGAGCGCGGCGCCCGCAGGGACAGCGGCAGCCCCCCGGGGCGAGCCCGCTGGTGGGTGCGCAGGGGGCGGCAGGAGGAAGGCGAGGCGCTGCGCGGGGTGCAGGAGGAAGGGGAGCGCTACCGCGGGGAGCAGGAGCAGCCCCCCGGCACGTGGCCCCCGCGCCGCCGCCAGGCCAGGGTGTGAAGGCGGAGACCCCGCCGAGCGCGCCCCTCGCCATGCCGCCCGCCCGCGGCCCTCCTCGCCCCGCCGACACCGCCACGCCGGCACCGGACACCCGGCGAGGGATGCCACGGCCGTGAGCACCGAGGTAAGGGGCGACGCGGGCGACGGGACCGCTGGCGGAGGCGGTGCGGTGCTGGCACCGTGCCCTGCAGCACTGCGGGCATCCCGGCACTAGGGATGCTCGCCCTCTGTCCCCCTGCTCCCTTCTGCTGAGGTTCGGTGTTTGAACCCGCAGCGGAAGCCGGGGGAAGGATTCCTTTTTCTTTTTTTTTTTTTTCCTTTTGCTCTGCTTTTCCTCCTCCCCGGGCTGAACAGAGGACCCTTGTCCTCCGGGCACAACCCCGCGTCTCGGGGGCGTCGCACTGCTGCCAGCGCCGGGAGCAGCACGGAGACCCTCCGCGTCCCCGTCACATCCGCCTCTGGCCGCATCGGGGCAGGTTTTTCTCACCGAAGCGCTCAGGACGCTTTCTTTTGCTCACTTTTTTTCTCGCTTACTCTAAAAGTTAACTCTGGCGATGCGCGCTTGGCAGCCTCAGCACGGATCCTTCCCCAGCAGGAGGATCCCTGCTCTGCTGCCATCCTCTCGCTGCTGCTCCTTCAGCTCCGTGTTCGGAGCCTCCCAGTTTACCCACAGCCTTCAGCTCGACCCCGTACCCTTCACCCCGCTGGCTAGAGGAGCTGCAGCAACCCCGGGCACGGGGCAGGGACCCGCAGCCGCCACCGAGGCTCCCGCATGCCCCAGGCCGGGGAAGCGCCAGGGCCGGGCTGTCTGGGCAGGGCAGGCCGAGGCAGAGCCCGGCGCTGCCGCTTCCCCACGCGCTCGCCTCCGTGGTGCCGCCCCGGCACGGCCTCTCCCCCTGCCCCGCGTTCCCCAGGCTGCTGCGGCGGCGGCGCGCCGCCCTGCGCCATGGGTGCCCTCGTGGTGCCAGGTCCCTGCACCCAAACCCTCGCTGAGAAATTGGCAAAGTTCATCAGGTTTTGGGATTTGCTAAAATTGTGACCTGAGCGCAGGGTGCGCACAAGGAGGAGGGTGGGATAGGGGGGCTGCTCCTCCAGGATCCTTTTTAGGGAGCCCCTGAGCAGGTAAAACCCCATCCCGCTCGCCAGCCCGACCCAACCCCTGCCTGGGGGCGCGGGCGGGGGCGCCCCAGCGGGATTTGGGGCTGCGCAACCAGTTAGCAGCCCCTTGAGCCACCCCGGGCCTCGTTAGCCCGGTGCTCATTAGCGCGGGGCGTGGTGCCGGTGGGGCATTGTGGGAACCAGGGCTGCGGGGCCGCCAGTGGTGCCCGGTTCTGTGCCACTGCCCCGGGCAGGGTGTGGGGGTGGCAGCCGTGACTCAGCTCCCCTGGGGCTTGGGGGGCACAACGGGGGAGCGGCTTCACCCCATGCACCTGGGTTGTAGGGCCAGGGGGGAGCTTCCCAGGAAGCTTCACCCCGCGGCACTGGGGCTCTGCCGCTGCTACGGATGGAGGAGGAGGAGGAGGAGGAGGAGGAGAGCCGGGGGGGGCTGCAGTGCCCGGGGTGGGGGCAGCGGGGCCTCCTGCACCAGTACCACCAGTTCCTGCAGGTGTGGTGCCGCGGGAGCGGGTGAGACCGTGCGGCTCCTGCACCATGCCAAAGGGTCCCTTGGGTGCCCTGTCCCCCGTGGGGTGCCCCCCCTGCAGCCACGCTCCGGCTCTCGGCTCGCTGCATGGGCTGAGCAGCCCCAGGGGGCACTGCCCGTGCTGCAGCCTGGCCAATTAGGCTGCCTTCAATTAGCGCTAATGACTGGCAGATGCGCAGTGGTCTGGCCAGGGCACCGCTCTGCTCCAAACCACCGTCCCTTCCCAGCGCCGGGTGCTGGGGCAGGTCGGGGGCTCCTGGACATTCCTGCCCAGCACCCAGGGGTGCTGAGCCCCTCTCCTTCCCCGTGGCCCCAATAAGCTCCTTCAGAGGGGAGCAGGAGCCCGGCCACGGGTGCAGGGTGACACTTCCAGCTCTGATCTGGCCCCCAACACCGGCTGGACAAATCCCCCCCTGCACGAGGCTGGTGCTCCACGGCCAGGGTACCCGTGGGTGCTGCCGTGCCAGCCCCAGGTGCGCATTTTGGGGGGCTCCCATCAGACCCCGGGTTTGGTTTTCCACCCCCACAGGGTTTGGGGCAGGCGACGGGTGCGGGATCAGCAGGATCCCACCCATCCTGACCTCTCCTTCCTGCTTGGCCCCAGGGGACCCTGCGGCCAGCGCGAGCGGAGCCCTGCCATGGCTGCGCGGGCGAAGCCCTGACGCCGTCCTGCGTCACCGCCGGGCTCGCGGGGACACCGGGACACGGAGCAGCCCTGCCAGGGGACCCCAGCAGCGCAGCCGCCCCGGCCCAGGTAGGATGAGCACGGGGGCTGTTGGGCACGGTCCAGCTTCGCGTTGGGGTGCTGGGTTGTGAGGGGGTGTCCCTCTGAGTGCTCGGTGACACCGAGCCCAGTGCCCTCTCGTGGCAATGCCAGGCTCAGCCGTGCGCTCTGCCAACACCGCCCTGGGCACGGGGCCCGGAGGGGGAGCTGGGGGGGTGCTGTGCTCGGGGGTGCCCATGGGAATGCAGTCACTGCATGCGTCCTCACCCTTTTATCCAGCTTGCACCCTCTCCTGCTTTTTCATGCCGAAGCAGGGTTGGTTTGTCCCTTAAACCAGCCCGGTGCTTGCCCTGCTCGGTGACAAATGGAGATGGGGACGAGATGGGGGTCGGCCAGGGGCTTGTGTGTGCCCCCTGCCCCTCTCCATGCGCCCTGAGCAGCGCGGCGTGCACCTGGCCCCATGATTTCCCCCATCATCCCTGGGGATGTGTTGTGGATCGGGCTGGATCCTGCTGCAGATGCAGAGATGGGGATCAGCCCCTCAGGTGCGATGGGCTAGTGTGGCTCTGTGTGGGTTCGTGGCCCAGCCAGGCAGGCTGCTAGCCACGCTGGGAGCCCAGCATGCCCTCAGCCCGCCCCGGGGCTGCCTGTGCCGCCACCACTCGCCATACGGCGGGGATTTAGCGGAGGAAAGAGGCTTAGGGAGAGGATTGGGGTTGCGCCGGGCTTTGTCAGGGCGGGGGGGCACCGCTGGGTGCGGCTGCTCCCGGGCAGGATCCGAGGGACAATCGCTGCCCGGAGAGCAGGGGACGCACCGGGGCAGGATCCGACCATGGCATCGGGCTCTGGTGGCACGGAGAGCGCAGCATCGGGGCACCTGGCACCCCGTCCTCGCCGTCCACCCCCGCCGCGGGTGTCACCGTCCCACCGTGCCGGCTGCTCGGGACACCCCAGCGAGCTGCGTCGGGTGCCGGAGGCGAAACACACGCCGGTATGGGGGCTCCTCGCCGAGAGGTGGAGGGCACCGGGTGGGTGGCACAGCAGCGGGGAGGTCCCCGGGGAGCGCGGGCAGGGTGCTGCTGGCAGCCCGTCCTTTGCCGCGCCGTGCTCTGTGTGTGTGTGGGTTCGCACGTGTGTGCGCGCACGCCTGCGCCGGAGCAGCCGGCCCGGGGAGTGTTGTCAGTGCAATTTGGGGCCGCCCCTGGGCCCCGCCAGGGCTGAGCGAGTCAGCCCGGGGCGCCGCGGCCGTGCCGCTGCCGGTGACATCACTTCCAGGTGACACTGCCACCAGGAAGGTGGCAGGCGGGGTGGCGGGGCCACGGCACGGCCAGATGGGACGGCGAGCGGGGCGATGCGCTGCGGGTGAGCGGGGACCCTATTTCGGGGTGCTGTGAGAGGGTGGGCGCAGGGCAGGGTGCTGTGGTGTGCGCCCCAGGGATGCTGGGAGGGATGCGGGGACAAACTGGGATGC